AGGAAAAGGCAGTGCTGTTTAGTAGCTTGGGGACCTTTTGCTTTGTGATTACGAGAGAATATTCTGTATTTTATTGTTTCAGAAATGTTTTCCTATTGGAGTTTGTCAGGAAATGAGTTTGAGTGGATGCATGGACAAAGATCCACTTTTGTTTTGTTTTGTTTAGTTTCAATGCTGAATTCCTTCACTGAAATCAACAAAAGTAATCTAGCACCCGTGTGTTGTGTTCTGGCTTTGGTAGATTTTCTCTGAAATGTTTTAGAGGAGTTCTGATCTGAAGTGTGGTTGTTTCCCATCTGTTTGAGAAATGGTAGTTTAAGCACTCAAGGACTTTAGAATTCTTGCATGTTTGATCTTAATTTGGAAAATGACATAAGCCTTTAATAAATCTGCAGCAAATCAGAACCTCACAAGCAAAACTTATTGAGGGGTTAATAGAAAACTGCCTTGGCTCCAAGCTCTGATCCGCTTGCAAATTCAGTCCAACTGCCTGGACGCGTTTTTCCACAAACAGAATTCTCAACTTTAGGATGCTGATCAGTGTCTTGAATTCCCAAAGAAAGATAGATTTATTTTCAGTCTATTTACTAAAGCATGAAGAGGGACTAATTCTTTTTGGAAATGATTTTACAGGAACTGAAACAGTAGGTGCCTTGGCGTCAGATGGCTTGGATTTGAATCCGGGCATAGCTGCTTGCTGACTGAGTGACCTTGGGCAATCCCTTCTTCTCTCTATGCCTTACAGCCCTCATCTGTACGTCAGGATATACGTAAATCTACTGTTCAGTGAATTAATATTTTAAAGTGCTTGACACAGGGCCTGGCGCTATGTGAGTGCTTTATATTTTTATTTATTTATTTTTTCAATCACGGAAACTCAGTGGCTTCCAATGACAGTTGCTTTTTTTTTTTTTTTTAAGATTTTTATTTATTTACTTGACAAAGAGCTATATATAGAGAGATCACAAGCAGGCAGAGAGGCAGGCAGAGGGAGAGGGAGAAGCAGGCTCTCTGCTGAGCAGGGAGCCCGATGGGGGACTCGATCCCAGGACCCTGGGATCATGACCTGAGCCGAAGGCAGTTGCTTAACCGACTTAGCCACCCAGGCGCCCCGTGAGTGCTTTTTAAATAAATACAAATAAGGAGGGGTGCCTGGGTGGCTTAGTCGGTTAAGCATCTGCCTTCGGCTCAGGTCATGACCTTGGGGTCTTGGGATTGAGTCCTGCATTGGGAGGGGGTCCCTGCTCCTTGCTCAGCAGGGAGCCTGCTTTTCCCTTTCTCTCTACCCTTCCCCCACCCCCAGCTCATGCTCTCTCTCACTCTCTCTTTCAAATAAATAAAATATTAAAAAAAAAAAACCCCAAACCTCCAAAAAACAAACAAACAAAAAAAAAACAAGTTTGTGCGAATGCTCACAGATTTGAATTAACCAGAACATTCCAACTATCAACTCTCCTCATGGTTTAGGACTGGTAATACATGCTAAATCATATTTGTCTATCTCATGAATTGAAGGCTGTTAATTAGTTATGTAATGTCTTATTTGGATAATTTCTGACTTCATGAAACGTTGAAAGAATAGAAGGAAGAGCTCCCACAAGCCCTTTACCCCGATGCCGCAGTTACTCACGTCATGCTCATTTGGTTTTGAACTCATTCGTTCACATTTCTCTTCCTCCCTTCCTTTCCTCCTTTCTATTTTTTTTTTTTAAAGATTTTATTTATTTCTTTGACAGACAGAGATCACAAGCAGGCAGAGAGGCAGGCAGAAAGAGGAGGAAGCAGGCTCCCCGCTGAGCAGAGAGCCTGATGCGGGGCTCGATCCCAGGACCCTGGGATCATGACCCGAGCAGAAGGCAGAGGCTTAACCCACTGAGCCACCCAAGTGCCCCCTCTATTTTTTTCTTACCCTCAGAATCATTTGAAAATAAGGTGGAGACATTTGTTTCTTTATCCTTAAATATTTTAGGGTGTATTTTTTTAGTAATAAGGACATTCTTTTTCTTATCTACAATATGATCAAAGTCAGGAAACTTAATGTTGATACAACTCTGTAATTTAATCTGAAAACTATATTTAGAAATTATTAATTGTCCCAATACTGTCCTTTAGAGCTGTGCGTGTGTGTATGTGTATATGTGTGTATGTTTGTGTGAACGTATATGTGTCTGTGTGCAGTTTATTCTGAGGAAAGCTCTGCATATTGTATTTTTTTCTGGTCCCAAGATCCAGCGTATGGTCACAATTGCATTTCTTTTCCATGTGTCTCTCCTTTATTTGAAACCATCCTTAGATTTTTTTTTTTTTTTGGGTCTTTCACGACCTTGACACTTTCAAAAGCAATTACGTTTTAGAATGTCCCTCAAATTTGAGTTAGTCTGATTTTTCATCCTGATTAGAGCTAGCTTTAAGGTCGTTGTGTCTTCCAATTCTAGAGGTAACTGTGATATTTCATCACTGTAAATTTTTACACAAAATAGACGAAGAGTGTTTGATGCTATATTGGTTGACACGTGCGCAGTGAGGTGGGTATAGGAAAATCAACAGAGATATTCTGTGAGTGCTTATCTACAACAAGTAAATGACTGTATTCTGAAAGAATAATGCCCTTAGGGGATTCAGCCCACTAATGGTGAGGGCAAATAGGTCAAGAGAAAAGAGAGGTAAAACCTCACTATTTCCTTGATTAAAAAAAAAAAAATCAAGTGTAGGCAGAATTCTTTCTTGTGTACAATGGAAATAAATTAAACATCACAAGAATGGTCTCCTCTGGCTGGGAACCTCAAAGTGTCTTGGACCAAGAAACATAAATAGGCATTCTGTTCTTCTGTTGGAAAAGCGTGATTGTCTCTGTACAGGACCAACACACCAGGGGAAAGATGAAAAATGTAGCCTGGCATCTAAATGTGGAGTGAAGTTCATTCTGAGAATGATTGTGCCCGTGAAAATATATATATATATATATATATATATATATATATATATTTTTTTTTTTTTTTTTTTTTTTTGAGAGAGAGAGAGAGAGAGCATGAGTCGGGGATGGTGGTGGTGGGAGGGGCAGAAGGAGAGGGAGAGAGAGACTCTTAAGCAGGCTCCATGCCCAGTGTGGATCCCATGTGGGGCTTGATCTCACAACCCCAAAATCACGACCTGAGCCAAAATCAAGAGTCAGATGTTTAACCGGCTGAGCCGCCCAGGTGCCCCAGACAACATTTTTTCCTTAAGTCTAGATATGGGCAGTGCCTCTCATCCTGAGTAACCTGAGACTTTTTTAAAAAAAAATGAATACGGAAGCACATGGTTGGGAATCACTGTGCTATGGCTGGGAAACAAAAGAGAGAGAAATGAAATGGCCGGAAGCAAATGCTTTTGCTGCTCTGCACAGAATTTTCCATGGCCTTGAATGCACTCAAGTTCAAGAAGTGACAAGAAAGAGTTAATCCTTTTAAGCTAGTGCCTGGGGTATGCCCTGGGAAAATCTGACCGAATGAGTTACTGCTCAGCCTAAAATTAAACTCCTGGCTCCTTGTCTGGCGTAGGAACTATTAGATCACATTTCTTTTCACTGATGGATCCATTTTTTTAATGAATTGAAAAAAGAATCCCCAGTGGTTCCTTTTGTGTGAAGAAAACAAGATAAATATTAGCCAGGAAAGGTCATTTTGGTTTCCAATATGTGGGAAGTTCATTATGATGGATTCTGATAAATTATACCATGTATTTCTTTCCGATAAGAGAAGGTCACATTGTACCCTTGGGTGGACAAACATACTTAATAAAGTTGGAGGAAGTGGGAGATGAACATTTGCCAATGTTTCATTCTTTCCCCCGAATACCTTACTTGTACAGTTACTCAAAGCCACTCCCCTCCTGAGCTACTCACTCAAGGCTGACTCTTTTTCCTCTGGCCCCAAAGGGACGGGTCTGCAAGCCCATTACCTACAGTGTTCTGTGGGCAGACTTGTGTAGTTACCTTCAGGAGAAGATATCTAAAGAAGAGAAAAATCTCAGATGTGCTTTGTGGCAGGTTTGTGATGGGTTCAACGGGATTCTAAAGTAACTAGACCGTGTCGCAAGATCATTTTTATCTCATATTTGCAACTTTATCGATGCACATCATTGTTTTTCCCCCAATCTCCACCACTGGAGGGATGTTTTAAACTTAGCAGAGTTAAAAATAGTGTGTTTCATGGTCCATTTTTTTTTTTTTTTCTTGAGATGTCTTTGGTTTGGAAGCATCTAAATCCTTCTTGCAAAGATGTTTTTGCTAGTAGAAAAGTCCTTTCAGGTCTGTGCATTAAAGGAGTGTGTTGAATGTCAACTATGGTATTCACAGGCATTCTTTGTATGTTGGTGGGATATTTTCTGTTGGAAAGACGTTTCCTCTCTTCCTCCGGTTAACATTTTTCAGAAAGGAGCCTCACTGATTGGTTAGCAACGTCTGCAGGTTTATGTCCCCCAAAGCTAAGAATTCAGATCTTCATGCTGGTTTTTCCAGCGCTGTGTAGCTTGGGCAAGTGGCAGAACTCTTGGGAAGGGACCATCTCCATTTCTGTTCTCATCCCCTTGTTAATGACATGGGGTGAATGAAATTATGCATCATGAAGGTTGGGGATCTTCTGTCAAGTTTGGAATGCCTTTGCTGCTGAGATAACTTCTACTTTAAAACTGTATTCTGTTACCTAATCCGTGACGTTACTGAGTGCTGGATTTTGTGTCTTTCCCCCCTCCTTTATTAAGATCCTTTACAAGTGTGGCTGCATCTGGCTCCCTCCCACTGTCCTCAAGCTGCAGGTTTCATGGCAAAAAAACCCAAAACCCAAAAACCAAAAAACCATTATTTTGCTCCTGGAAATCTGTATCATTTCAACATTAACAGGCTAATGATTTCCTGTCCTTGTTGTTTCTTATATAGGTCTTTCCAAGCTAAGATAATTTTTTGGAACTGCAGAAATTGTTGGCCCTCGCTACAAATGGGAGTTTGGAGTTGCTCTGAAATCCATCTTGAAATAATTGTGCTTGACTGGAACCAAATCTTATGAAGTCACCAAGGTAAAATGATTTTAACAGACACCTAGAGATGGTTTCTTTATGAAACATTGAGAATTTAGCAAAACGGAGAATCCTAGAGTTGACGATCCTTAATAAAAGTTGTCTTTTTCCATTGAATCTTGGAGTATTTTGGGAATCAAGTTTCTCAAGTTTTAGTTAGTTTCTCTTATTTTGGAAACCATTTCCATTTGCAAAGCAGCATTTTGGCTGTTTAGCAGGGTGAAAGGTAAAATCCAAAGAGACACCAATTTTGTTTTACGTTTGAACAAAATGTTCAAGGGGGAAGAAATCGAAGTGGAAGAATGATGTTAGATGTGGTAGGTCAGAAGTCCTTGACTGGGTGTCTGAATTGTTGACTACAATAAAGAATGATGGCTGAATCCTGTCCATTCGCCCCCTGGCATTTCTGCCGGCAGTGATAGCTCTTGTGAAGGGAACACCCGCTCAAGGCACTGCAAGCTCACGCGGGAACCTGGTACATGGAATTGTCTGTGTACGCAGATGGATCAGGGATCATCCCCACAGGTTGGAATGGCTGCCCTTAAGACTTTGGGTTTGGGGTTTTCTGTTGGGATCCAACCAGGAAAACAGACCATTCTGATAATGTGGGACAGAAGGAATAGAATTCAGGGAACCTAAATAAAGGGAGAGTCAGAGAGGTCAAACAGAAGATACAGAGGCAGCCCTGAGAAAGGGAGCAGTAGGAAGCTACACCGTCCCCTGGGGTCGGACAAAGGAAGGAAGTAGTGTTTGCCAGCACCTAGGGGAGGGGACCTTCAGTGGGAGCTAGAACCAGAGTTGGTCTCCTGGCAGGAACTGGCACTTTGGAGGAGACATGACCACTCCATACATCTTGCTCAAATTGGAGAAGGTGGGGAGAAATACCCCATCCTTTTTCTTCCACCCTCCAGGCTCTAGCTACTATCCCCTGTTGGTTAAATCCAGCTGATTCAGGGGTCTGGAAAACGCAGCTGATGGGAGTGACCTAGGAGAAGGGAAAATAATGGATCTGAGGACAAAACAGGCCCAGGAGGGGATCGGCTACCTATGTGAAATCTCTTCCTATGACATTTTAATGGGCATGGCATGGTCTCTTATACCCCAGAGATTGGGTCTTCTCTTGAGGATGACTCCACAGCCTTACAAAGTAAATTATGCATATTACACATGTCTTGTGTTTGAAGATGGATGGTGATGGATGCTGTGATGCAGAAGGATTCATTCCCTCATGGCCCAGAGTCCCCTTCTGGAATGAAAGGATTATTTCCCCCTTTAGGAATGAGGACACAGCCAACTGCAGAAGATGACCTACAGCTTTCTTGAATTATTCTCAATTCAAAGAGCCCCCTTGCCTAAAATTAACCATCTTTTTAGGGGCAGCTCATATCCAATGATAGGTCAACATGAAAGGATAAAGCCTTGGCCCCCAGCTTGGAATCGCTGAGAAGGGGCATTTCAGCTTTGGAACTCTCCACTGGATTATTGGGGGCCTTTTCCTCCTTCTGTCCTGCCTTCTGCCCTCCCTGTTTTCCCCTTCCACAGGTGATATCTCTGGACTGTCCCTGGATAAGCCGCCTGCTCACCAGTTCCCAACCTTGGGACTCAGATCATCTCAAACATACTCCCCAATTTGATAAAACCCTTCCAGACAGGTTTAGGTGATATAGGGACTAATAGGGAAACCAAATTTCACTGGTATGTTAGATAGGAGAGGTTAGAGACCACCTGAAAGACCTAGTCTGAATTTGGAGACTAAATTGTGTGGGACTTTATGGTTAGAGGCAGGAGAGCCAACTCATGAAGCAGAAGAAAAGTATTTAATGATACTCAGTGGAGGGTTAAGAATTAAGAAGACGATAGGGATCTGGGCATCTGGAAATTGGATTAAGAACAAGAAGATGGGATTCAGAACCAGCTTGTGTCTGACGGGTTTATTAGCATGGGGAGAGAGAGCAATGCATACTTGCAGTTCTCAGCAACGTTGCTCATATCTCAGAAAATGGATGGTGTATACATGGACTGGGCAAGGGGTTGCTTGTCCTCAGGTCAATCCAGCAGTACTGAGGAGTGACAGCTGAAGAAAAGGACAGTGAGGGAGAGCACATTCCCTTTGGGTAATGTTTTCCTCAGAGCCCATTTTCAGTGATATAAATCTTGAGGTTAACTTATGTGATTAATCATTTAAACTAATTAGATTGAATACCTAGTTGGATGTTTGTAAACCACGTGTATGGATAAAATTTTGTGATTGGGTTGTCTGCCCATTTTTGGTAGACAGAGTTCTAAGATGGCCCCTAAGACTTGTACCCTTTTGTGTGTACGACCTGGGTTATTTCCTCCCCTTGAGTGTGGACACGTTTGTGAATATGATGGGGGTTCCCTCCTGTGGTTAGGTTATGGTTATATGACCAAGATGAAGGGATTTTTGTCAATGTAATTAAGGTCTCAAATATATTGATGTTGAATTAATGAAAAGGGAAATTATCCTGGATAGGATTGGCCTGACCTGGTGAGCTCTAGTGAAGGACTCCACCTTACCTGGAAGAAGAGATTCAGACTGAAGCAGCCTGAAAAGGGTCCACGTATGTGGTCAAGTTCAGGATGCCACTGCTCAGAGCTGAGAGCAGGTCCTGGCTGATAGCAAGAACATAGGACCTCGCTTATAGGGGCCTATGGAAATGGATTTTGCCAGTAGTGTGCAGGTGGTTAGGAGTCATTCTTTCCCCAGTTGAGCCTCCAGATGAGGACATGCCCAGATGACATTTTGATTCCAGTCCTGGGTGTCCCTGAGCAGAAGACTTGGCTATTATGTGCCAGACTTCTGAATTAAGGAAACTATTAGAAACTGTGGAAACCATGTCCATATCGTGTCAACTGCTGAGTTGGGCAGTTTATTTGTTAAATCGGAAGAGAAATGAATACCCCCTTTGTCTGATTCCTTCAAATGCTTTGTTTGGGGGCCACGACGTTTGCTGCAAACTGGAAGCCAAGGTGCCTTATGCAGCCTGAAAATGTGTTACTTCGTCTGTTTTGCGCTCTGTTTTAAAAATAAAACAAACGGAATTAGTTACCAACATATAAACTGGGAAGATCGTATACCAGAGTCCAATTTCTCTTGAGAAGTTAGTCCTGGGGTCCCTAGGCTCACATTTCTGCACTGCAGTGACAGGCTGGGGTGGTGACAGCTGCCCCCAGGTGGGTCTCCAGGGCGGCCTCCACAGTCCCTGCCTTTCACCAGGGCCATAGGTCCTGCCAGCCTACTCATTCACTTGTGGGCATTTGAATTTTTGACCTTTTGGGAGGAGACTTTGTGACCATTGATCAGTAACTAATATTGGAGTTAACAACTGGAATTTTAAAGACATTATGGGTGGGACAGAGCGCTTCATCCACAAAGTCAGCGAATGCAGAAACTACATGCTTTCCCTAATTAGTAATAAATTAATAATCAGTTCCCTGAAATGACAATATGATTAAAGACAGCTGATCCTCGAACAACACAAGGCTTGGGGAAGTTGACTTCCCAAAAACTTAGTCACTCAGAGCCTACTGTTGACTGGAAGTCTTACCAATAACATGAACAGTCACTTAACACGTATTTTATATATTGTATGTGTTACCTACTGTATTCTTGCAATAAAGTAAGCTAGAGAAAAGAAAATGCTATTTTAAAAAATCCTAAGAGGGACGCCTGGGTGACACAGTTGATTAAGTGTCTGACTCTTGGTTTTGGCTTGGGTCCTGATCGCAGGGTTGTGGGATTGAGCCCCGAGTCCGGCTCCATGCTCAGCATTGGGTCTGCTTGGGACTCTCTCTTCCTCTGCCCCACTGCCTCAAATAAACAAGTCTTTTAAAAAAAATCCTAAGAATGAAAATACATTTATAATACCACAATGTATGGCAGAAATTCCATGTGTAAGTGGACCCACACAGTTCAAATGTGATGTTCAAGGGGCAGCTGTGCTCATACCGAAGCTCACGTAGACCCACCTATTTTCTTTGCCACTTTTTGAACTGCTCCTGGGGTGTCTATCTCCTGCATGTGCAAGGTGAAGTTGGGGAGACAGAGGGTGGTGCTTTGAGAAATTAAAGCACCTGCAGGGCCTTTCAAGCAGAGAGACCTGATGTTCCCATGTCAGTTTGGAATGCTCAGGATTTCCAAGGCCAAGGGCAAAGAGAAGCCAAGACTTTGTGTCTCCTTGAATGCGGAGTTGCTCAAATATGATCTTAGAACCTTGTCTTGCCCTGGCTGCTTCAAAGGCAGACTGAGTCTCACATCAACGAACGGAATGTTACCTTTCAACAAGATCTATTTGACAACATTGCGAGAGGCCAAGAGAGAAGGGTGGGGGTAGAACCTGTTCTCTGGAGTATGATTTGGGTGCTAGGTCCCCAAGGCTGTGCTTTCTCTCAAGCACAGTCTTAGGGTTCTGGTCGAGATGCTGCTGGTCTCTGAGATCCTTCCTTCCAGAACTTCAGGAACTCTGCCTCTAGTGGGGCAAACTGGACTCCAACCAGTGTTTATACATGGCATTATATGTATGCATATGTGTGTGCGTATATAAATAATAAGTATAAATATAAATATACGGGGTTCCCTTGACCCGATGCGGTGAATGACATCATGATACCTGTGCCAGGCAGAACCTAATGTCACTGGAATTTCAGATGCCAAACTCTGTGTCCCACTTTGTTTGAAAAAGTTAATTAAAAAAAAATAGCAAACAAAAGTTAATCTAGTTCTATTTTCCCTAAAATGTCAAAAACAGGAGGAAATTAGTGGAGATGTCAACTATCCTTCAATTACAATAAGAAGAAAATTGAGGGGGGAATGCATTTTTTAAAAAGATTTTATTTATTTATTAGAGAGAGAGAGAGACGGGCAGAAGGAGAGAGAGTATCTCAAAACAGACTCTTCACTGAGCACAGAGGCCTCGGGGCACGATCTCATGACTCTGAGTTCAGGACCTGAGCTGAAGTCAAGAGTTGGATGCTTAACTGACTGAGCCACACCCAGGCACCCTGAAAATGCTTTTTTGATATTTTCCTTTTATTTCATTTCTTTTGGGTTTGTTTGAGAATAGTAGACTATACATACATACACATTTGTGAACTGAATTAGACAATTCAGTTGTCTAAGCAACTGTTTCAATACTGTCCATCTGCATGAAGTGAAGTTTATCTTCGTTGTATAGAGATGTAATTGACACATAACATTGTGTATGTTTCAGGTATACAATGTGCTGATTTGATACATATATAAATTGCAAAATGATGATCATAGTATTATCTACCACCTCCATCCTGTCCATAATTACCATTTCTTTTTTGTGGTGAGAACATTTAAGATCGACTCTTAGCAACATTCAAGTATATGATAAAGAGTTACTAGCTATAATCACCGTGCTGTACATTAGTGCCCCAAACTGGTTAAACTTGTAACTGAAAATTTGTACCTTTTGATCAATATCTCCCCATTTTTCTCACCTCCCAACCTTTGCTAACTATCGCTCTACTCGGTTTCTCTGAGTGTGTCTTTTTTCAGATTTCCCATATAAGTGGGATCCAACAGTATTTGTCTTTCTCCATCTTATTTCCCGTAGTGTAATGCCCTCAACGTCCATCTGAATTGTTGCAAACAACAGGATTTCCTTTTTTTCTCATGGTTGAATAGTATTCCGTTGTGTATACATACCACATCTGTATGTGTTCATCTATCGACATCCATAAGAAATTAAGTTTATTTTACATTCGCCTATACTTGGCCATATTCCCACCAAACTTTGATACTGAAAATCATTTATTAATATACACTCAGAGAAACCAGGAGAAAAGTCTCAGGCTGAGTGTGACCATTTCTGTGGTTTCTCTGAGATGCAGAAACCATGTCTATTTTATCTGAATCCAGCTCTTCGTGTGTAGCTTTCTAATTTCATGATATAAAATAGTATGTTACCCCCACGTTCCATGAGGAAAAGTCAGGCTACACAGTGGGGCTTCGTAAATAGACTTCTCATTGAAGCATGTTGCTAACTTGGAAAACTCGTAATTATAAGAAGCGTTCATTGGAAATTGAGTTAATGCACAGTGGCAATCAGGTTTGATTTGCCTTCAGTGTCCTTGGGGGAAAAGAAGTCCAGTGCTGAGCACCTCTCACTTGCTGTTTTCTTCCAGTTTCCCCCAGGTCGTGCTTGCGTGTTTGCCCCAGAGCCTCACCTCCCTGAGCCCTCACTGACTCGCATCTTGCTTTCTCTCCAGGATGAGAGTCTGTGCTAAGTCAGTGTTGCTGTCACATTGGCTCTTTCTGGCCTATGTGTTAATGGTGTGCTGTAAGCTGATGTCTGCCTCGAGCCAGCACCTCCGGGGACACGCAGGTAAGCCCTTTAAGCTCATTATGCACCACTGAGATCAATTAATAAAACCCTTTCAAACGTCAGAGTCCACATTTTAGACACAGGTAATTGACAAGAGCTTTTGATGGTGTGTAAATAATCCCAGTGAACCTGAGATACATCAGGGCGATGCTGTTCAATGGTTTGGTGCTGAAAGAGTGTTCTAGACATTTTTAAAGGATAGTTTCCAGGTGTTTCCCCTCCTTTTCTTTCCTGAATACACTTCCATTCTTAGAGTGATTTTTCTCCAAGAATCCTGGAAATCCAGCCTCCCTTTCTTTGCGTATGTATTACTCCTGTAGGTTCCTCTGAAGGCAGGACGTCTTTACTGGTACTTAACTTAAACACTTAAACACTTCCAGGGCTAGAGTGAAGCTGTCAGATAATCTAAGACCACTTGGTGGAGAAAAGATGGTGAATGATTTAAAAAAACAAAGAAGTAAGAAAAGAAAAAAAAAACAACGGTAGTTTTTGCATGGGACCTAAAATAAAATGTGTCTAAAGTTTTAGAGAATCATTCCCGTAATTTCTCATGAGACCCTTGTGTATACTTTGCTTATTTCTAAAAAAGTTGAAAATAATCACTTGAGTCTGTGTGTGTGCAGGTGCATGTGTATGTGCGTTTCTGCCCCTCCCCCCTCTCCCTGTTACATCTACATTTAAAGTGATACAGACTTGGAAACTCCCCAGTGCAATGTGTTTTTCTGAGCCATTTGTATTTGTTTGTAGACTCATCGCCAAATAATTAATTTGCTGTCATTGCGTTAGTAATTTGAAGGGTGGCAATGCCAGGCTTTCTCGGACTGCTTAGTGAAAAAGTGAGTCTCAGACTCTCAACCAGATAGAATGGTAAATTCTGCCTCCCATGGGTCTAATGTATCAAGTTTGTCAGATATCCTTACCCTCAGACATATACCAGGCTGTGCTTTCCACTCAGTTATTCTGATATTTTAAGGTTAAGACAGGATATTAGGCTTACCATGATTTTAAAAAATCTCTCACGGTTCATTTTTTCCCGCCTCCAGTGAGAGTTCAGAGAAGACGAGAAAAATAATTGAAATTTTAATGAATCAGCATAAAATCAATACCATTTGGCTGCTGTGAAGTGCCTACAGCTAGTTGGTCATTGCACTGTGTATCTTTTGATGAGCTTGTTCTGAAGGATAGAGTGAAGTCATTAGTCTTATCTGTTTAATTCATATCTCTCTTCTTGGGTGGAGGCTGAGAGTTTGGGTAGCAATCAGGCAGAACATTTCAGTGGGGCAAGTTATCAGAGCAGATTTCCAGACTTCCAGGAACTCGGCTTGAGAGATTGTGTTGAAAAGGGATTAGAAGTTGAAGGAGACAGAGGACAGGACTGAACCTTCGATTTTTATCCATGCGGCAATCCTCATTTCTTTGAATTTAGAAAAGGCACAAGCATAGGTATAAATCTAAATTAAGATTAGAATTATGTGCACAAGAAATACGGACAATATCTTCTCTATAAGCCAAGACTCAACAGCCCTCAGGACAGCGAGAAGTCAGAGCAAAGCCTTGGCAAATCATGCTCAAGGAATGAAATTTTCAGCCCTAGAATTCCTAGCTGGTTTTATTTGGATTCCCAGCACATGTCCTTTGGCTTTTAGGGGATTCCTCCTGCTTTCATCTTTGGGATTTAAATCTTTCTCACCCCTTGTCTGAACAACCATCAAAGGAGACAGGACTGGTTCCTCCCTGCAGGGGGCTCGGTGTTCTCATTTTCTTACTGCGTGCACACATGAGTGCATGTGTATGATATACGTGATATAAAAAGATTTATTACGAAATATTGGCTCACACAGCTGTGTCGGCTGAGAAGTCTCATGATCTGCGGTCTGCGAGCTGGAGACCCGAGAAAGTCAGTGATGTGGTTTGAAGGTCTGATAACCAGAGAGCCCAGGTGTATTCTAGTCCAGGTCTGAAGGGCTGAGCACCAGGAACAGTGAAGGCACCAGAAGACTGATGTCCCAGCTCAACAGTCTGGCAAAGAACCAAGTCAGCTTTCTCCCACTTTTTTGTGCCATACAGATACACCTAGAAATAATGTTCAATCAGATATCTGGGCATCCCGTGGCCCAGTCAAGCTGACACATAAAATTAATCATCACAGCTGTCCTTCCAGGAAAAAAGAATGCTTCCCCTAGTATATGTGTATGCACTTACCTATCTGTATGCCCCTGTTTTGATTTTTTTTTTTCCCATTTAACGATAGAGTTTATAAATCTTTTCATTTGCGTGCTTACACATCTATCACTCTGTGTAACACCGCCTAGTCCTCTATGGTAAGGACATGCCATACATGATTTGATCCCTCCCCATTTTTGTGGACACTTGACTTGTTACCGTATTTATACAAATATATATGTTCCGACTTCAGGTGAATTCCTAGTAGCGAGATCTTGAGTTAAAGTGCATGCACATGTATTAGCGAGAGTAGCCCGACTGCTGTAGCCAACAGACCGAATACAAAAATGGCTCAGTAAATGGAGGTCTGTTTCTTGTTCCTGAGTCTTTGCGGTCGGGTGCAAATATATCCTCTGGAGGATCCTCCTGTATTGCAGTCTTTCTGGAACCCGTGGTGGTTGGAAGTGCTAACATTTTCAACCTGTGCCTGCCAAGGTTGTCCCAGATGGGCCGTCGTTTCAGCAGGCTGCAAGGGGAAGAAAGTTCCAGCAGGCTGCAAGGCGAAGTGCGCTGGAGGGTTCAGCTGGCAGGTGTAAGGAGCCGGCGCAAGTGTGGGCGGGGTCTCGTGCCCTGCGCGGCCATTGGCTGGAGCCCAAGCCCATAAGCGCATTTCAGGGCGGGGCAACGGGAGAACGTTCTAGCCGGGGACCCAGGGGGATGAGGAGAACCGGAGTTCTGGTACCTCTCCGGCAGCTTCCTTTGCAGCGCGTTCGCGGTCTAATCGTGCCAGAGCGTCCTTCCAGACTTCAGGACTTACTTATACTTCCACCCACGGTCACAGTGCGATAACGCCCATTTCCCTGTCCCTTTTTCGACTCCCGGTGCTAGCAAGTTTTGTTTTTGTGCCCATCTAGTAATGAAAACGTTCTATGGCATTGTATCTCTTTCTGACTGATGACGCTCTTAATGTGCTGGTGGGCTGTTTTTGTTTAAGCTATTGCATTTTTTTCTTTTTCTTTAAAAGATTTTATTTATTTTGGTATTTATTTTTATTATGGACCATATCTTCTTTTTTTATTTTTATTTTTTAATAAACATATAACATTATTAGCCCCAGGGGTACAGATCTGTGAATCGCCAGGTTTACACACTTCACAGCACTCACCATAGCACATACCCTCCCCAATGTCCATAACCCCATTTTTTTTTTTAAAGATTTTATTTATTTATTTGACAGAGAGATCACAAGTACACAGAGAGGCAGGCAGAGAGAGAGGGGGAAGCAGGTTCCCCGCTGAGCAGGGAGCCTGATGCAGGGCTCGATCCCAGAACCCTGAGTTGATGACCTGAGCCAAAGGCACAGGCTTTAACCCACTGAGCCACCCAGGCGCCCCTAAGCTATTGCATGTTTTAATCCACTTTTCTGTTGGCTCTATTGATTGTTTACTCCATGATGGGCAAAAGGTTTTTGCAGATTGAGGATGTTGGAGGGCTTTGACCATCCCTTTCCTCATTCCATCCCACTTCCCTGTGTCCCTCCCATTCTAGTGATGCTTGGGGGTGGGGTGTGTGTGTGTGTGAGAGAGAGAGAGAGAGATGGGGAGAGGGTTGAGGACTGCTATAAATGTTCACTAATGACCTTCAGGGGAAGGAAGTCCAGGATCCTTGCAGTGGCCATGTGGTTTTCTTCCTAGTATAGAGCTCAGCTGATGGAAAACTCAGGGTCGGAATCAATGGAAGGTGGGGGAGGCTGTCTATACCGAGATGCTGAGAAACTGAGCAGGTTTTACTCCACTGTGGGGGTACCCAACACAGCTCCAGGGCAAATTGCTGAGGGTTAACTGCAGAAGACTCTGTGTCTGTGTCCAAAAGACCTCTTGTTACCGTCCCAAGGGCTTTGTGGCTTGTGCTGGCCAATTAAGGGAACTGTGGCCCCAGGAATCCCTAGTTAGACGAGAGTGGCTTGTCGATGGCTGGGTATCAACACGGAGAGACTTCACAAGGGCTCGCCAAGATAAAGGGGAGGAAGGTGGGACTTATCCTCAGTTTTGAAAGATGAGGTACTAGGTGTGGCTTGAAGTTTTCATTTTAGTTCAAGCATTAAAAAACCAAACCTAATGAGACTCCACCGAATTTTAATAGGATAAGTGGTGGGAGTCTTTCTTTAAGGCAAATGGCTTTCATAAGCTTATGTTAGAGTCCAGAGTGGTATTTTTAAGGAATTAGAAAACACAAAAGACCACCTGTGTGTGTGGGGGGGGTTGAACTTGAGGTAATGGTTGGGTGTGAGATGATGTGGGTTTTTGTAGCCTCAAGCTATAGAAAAGGTGAAGGGGACAGTTCATAGGTCAGTTTCTTTTGAAAGGAAGCCAGAGTTAACTCTTATTTCTTCCGCTAGCAATTTGTCCTTTGGTTCTTTTTTTGGTTTGCTTTGTTTTTTTGCTGTAAGCAGCACCATTTCCCCGCAAGAGGGCAGCAAATGTAATGTGGTGGAAAGACTCAGGCTGTTTCAGAAACTCGAGAATCCTGTGGAATTAATCCTGTGGGGATCTTTGCAGAAATTTCATCTGATGTAGGCATGAGGAGTTTGGGACAGTAAGCACCCCACATACTTGAGATTTAGTTCTAGGAATAACTGGACACTTCAAAAAATTAACAATTTCCCCTTTGAAGACAGAACCAGAGCTTGTCTCCTGATGTAACAGAGAGACAGGAACTTCGATGCTGCTGGTTTGCAAATTCATTTCAGTGGTTCTGTTTCCCCAAGCGAGCTTTAAATAGGACCCGGTTGGGGGTGTGTAAATAGCACAAAAATGCTGTGCTGCTTAGCTACTATT